GAGGTCGTTGTACAGTCCCATATTCAGCTTTTATAGACCTTCCTGTGGGTGGAATTGCAGTCTCTGTTACATGTCAAGATAACATGAATTAACAGGTGTAATTTGGGTTTGAGACTTTGAGTTTGGGTAATTTTATTGTGTAGTCACAGTTTTTTTTTTTATTGTGTCAGACAGTTCCTTGGCAGATTCCAGTTCTGGGTAATGATCATCAGGGCCAGTTTCACTATTGTGCATGTGCGAGCAACGAGTCCTGCCGGTCATTCTCAAAGGGAATTTCCCACTTTCGTTTTTGGAAAGAGGGACTTACAGTAAGAGAGAACTACCACCAAGGTGGAATTCTGACAAGATTTTCCAAATATAGAATGTAGGAAGAATTCCCCATTACAATTAGGCTCGCTTATTTTTTCAGTGTGCTTTCCAAAAAAGTTGTAGTGAGAATTACCAGGTACCCGTATCCTCAAGAAGAATGCTTCGCTATTTTATGACCAGTGTTTCTCGTACGCACACTCTGCCTGTTTGCCAGGGACAGCCCTTCTGCGTTAACCCCCGAGCCCACGGAGCACAGGCAGCTCAGCTCAGAAATGCACGTGGATGTTGTGAAAAGCCGTGGTCCAGTTGATTGAAAGTTCCTGGCGTGGGGGTGGCCTGGTGGTCCCTGAAGCAGTGGGGTGTGAACGATGACCATGTGACTGACACAGCTGCAGCCCGCCCCCCCGTCACGCACACGCCAATCAATACGCTTTAGGACTGGGACTGTGCAGCGCTGCTTGCCCAGGGCCAGAGCCACTCAGGAATATCCCCGCTCCATTATCTTTCAATTACTGCACTATTTCTGGCTAGTTAGTCCCATTTATATCCCTTCTCTATTAGGCAGGGGCGTCTCTTACACTCCAGTGCTCAATGGGGTCACTTGGTGAGAACTGAGCCTTGCAGCCACGATGCTGCTACTCCTGGGCTCTCTGCTCCCAGCCTGCCTTCCCTGGAACAGCGGACTTTTTCAATGAAATTCCCGTGTCCCGAAGCGCACGTTCATTTGAGCTCAGACCCGGTCGATGCGTGTAGCCCGCCTGTCGGGAAGGGGGCTGTGAGGACTGGGAGCTGCACCTCCGTTCCAAACGCTGTGGATGAAGAGCCTACGGGTGTGAGCAGGAGGGTCGTTGGTGTTCATTTCCAGGTGCGGACTGGGTTAAAGACAGTGGCTTGAGTTGGTTTTTAAAAATGGCTTTAAAGCGCACACCCACGGAGTGTGCACGAAGGGACGTTTTGTGGCAGACAGCCTGAGATTGCAGGATTGATGTTTCCCGGGAGAATGAGGCTGCTGCTGGCCTGCTCTCCTCTGGGACAAAGGGGCGTTTGCCTCTCAGGTTTTTTGAAATCAGGGGGTCATTCACCATGCTGCTGATTTTTGGAATTCTGAAGATGTTAGATGAGTAGGGGGGCGGGGCGTCAGGTTTTCCCAGTGTCCCTCCCTGCCCTAGCTCTGTGTGAACACTCCCATCAGGCCTGCACCTCTGCTCCCGCCATGCAGCCACAAGGCTCGTACTCAAGAGAGCCGGGCTGATCCATTTACACATCTGAGAATCTAAGTAGGTGCCGAGATGAAAGAGGAATCCCCCCCCAGTACACCCAGTGAGAAGTTTTACCCACACTTCTTTCCTGAGCCCAGCTGCGCGTTCCTGAGAGCTTAACACAAACACAGTCCGGGGTGCGACTGTATGAAAACCCAAGAACAGGAGACACTTCTTTAGTGAAAGAGTTGTGGGAGCCCGACGCGAGTTACACCAACATGGCCGAAGGCGATAATCCAGCTTCTTTCAGTCAACAGCTGGCCGAGGCCCTGGGGTCAATGAGCCAGTAAACTACCAAACAGGCTGGGTGAGCTGAATGCCCCCCCCCCCCGTCATCTGTAGCCGTTCCTGTGTTAAGTTAAGCTTCACGAGGGCTTTTGAGCGATACTGAGCAAACTGCAGGGCAGGCCCTGACCCGCAGGGGGCAGCGAGCCGTTGTCCTGCGCGGTGCTGCAGGTCGAGAATCCCGTAGGCCCTCCGGGTTGCCCGCGGTGCAGTGGCCCGCAGTTCCTCTGCGAGGTCGGCGACGGCTCCGGCGTCCTTCCCTGTTCCGCGCGTCTCCCTCCCGCGACAGCCTGGCGCCGCCGGAGCGCGGCCCGTCTCGCGGACAGCGGGGTCGTCGTCTGGAATCTCGCGGCACCCGTAACTCCGGGAGCTTGTCGCAGAAATGTGCCTTGCGCACGCTTCCCTGCTGTTGCCTGAAGGCAGCCCTCCGCTCACACTCCAGAAGACTTGACTTCAGCACACTGGGGCACAGGGGAAGTGGTCTCTGGGACTTCACACTGCTCTCTCGCTCTGTCACCCAGATGCTCGCCGGCGGAAGTCTGCTTCTCCAGTGATGTCAATCTGAAACTAATGCTAAAAATTGCACCATTAGTATCATGAAAAGAAAGTACCCCCCGCCTCCACCTAAGAATCTGCATTCTGTATGATCGCTCTACGAGAGGAGTTTATTAGTAAAATCGCTTCACTTGACTGTTCGGCAGCAGAGGACTGTGAACAGTAATGAAGGCCAAACCCACCCGCATTCTGTTCACCCGAAAGTGCAGAGGTACTGTATGTGGATTTTGGGAACTTTGACAGTTTTCTTCTAGAATGAAGTAGAACAGCATTAGAGCTTTGTTTTAAATAATACACACTTTTCAGTTCAGTCTCTGTTCGATGTTTAATGCTGTACTTGTTTATTGCTTTTTTGAGCTGAATGTTCCCAGGAGATCTTCACTTCCAGTAGGTTAATTTCACAGCTTTGGTCTGTGATGCCCTGTAAGCTGAGTGGTGGATTGGCGTCTAAAGTGCTGTGCAGTGCTCTGTATGGCGTGATGGATAACAGGTGGCTTCATGGACACAGTGTTTTCAGATGTTAAGAAACTGGCTGTGTGGTACGGGGGGGGCGTGTTGTTACAGTCCGGCCGGTGACAGAAGTTTGAAAGATCCAGTCACTTGTGGATCTGCAGGGCTGTGCCTCAGTGGGTCACGGTAATTACGCACCCTGAAACTGGGAATTTATAGACATATTCTCTTTTAAGACTCTTTTTCAAAGGAACAAGAATAGACTGTTCTTTTAATTTTGCTTGAAGGTTGGCTGCTTTAAATCCTCTTTTGGTTGAACGGGCATAATCCTACAGTAGGCACGGTGGAGAAGTGTGTGAGCTGTATTGGCATCACACGGCCAGCGCAGAGACATGTATATCTATATTTGAAATCAAATGATACTCATCCTGAGCAGTACTGTGGGTATAATATTGAAAGCACAGATCCTCTAGAGGTTGCATGAATGTCATAATCCAATATTTTAATGGACTTGCTTGTATGGAGTAAAGTAAATTCGTTTAGGGAAGCCTGAGTGCACAATGGAAAGATTTCAGGGAGAGCTCTAAGAGTGAAATGAAAAGAGATTAGGTTAAATAAACCTTCCTCTGTGGGGATTTTAAGGCGCATCTGCCTCCAACCCCTGCATCATTATCCACGATACCGTTCCGCGCCGCGCGGGCTGAGTTTTAATCGATGCGAGCTCGTTGCCAGCACGGCGGCAAATCGCCGATTCCGTGTTTTTCCACTGGAACGGGAATTTTTTGGTGTGCTTTTGACAGGTTTTGTCCACGTGAGCTGTGAAGTGCAGGCTGCGCCGACGCGGCTGTTTTTGATGCCGTAGTCCTCCCCCCTGCGGCGTGGCCGAGAGCACCGTCTAGCGAGCTCGTTACAGACCCGATTATTGTGATCGCCTCCTGCTCGTCTCGGGACCCAGCTCTCGTGCGGGGCCGGCTGTCGTCACTCTTCACCTCCACGCTGGTGGGGGCCCGCTGGGGCGGCTCCCGGCCTCGATCCAGCCCGCGGCGTGTCCCTCCGTGGGCCCGCAGCCGAGCCCGGCGTGCGCGTTGTCTTGGAGTCCCAGCTGAGTGGCAGTTCCCTCCGGGTTCATGCTGTTTTTGTTGTTCTCTTCTCCACCTCTCTCCCACGCGTCCTCTCACTTCTTTGCGAGTGCGTGTTGGAGTCCTCTTCTGGTTTGTGTTTGTTTGATCACCTTGCCATCAGGCAAGGCCTATGTGCACGATGATTTTAAGTTTCGGAGAGCTCTCTGTCCCAGCTCCTGATGCTGGACTGGTTCTGTTTCGGCCCGCATCTCGTGCTGAGCCGGTGGCCGGTGGAGAGTGAGCTCGTCCGCTGGTTCTCCTTGCTCTCGCTGGGAGAAGGCATCTGCACAAGAAGAAAATTCCCTGCGAAGCCTGCTGGGCCACATTAACCAGGGCTGTTTGTCATCCAGGCACACAGAGGTGGTCTGTGGCGTTTGTCCCAGCTGAAGCCAGCTTTCATTCAGCTCTGTTTCTAACAATGCAAGATGTGATGAATCTCTCAGGAAGAGTAGTGGGATTGTCCCACACTTCCAGATCTGTGCTTTAAATAGCAGGCCCGGCATACACCAGTTGTGTCCACTTCCTTTTACATTTCATGTTGTAGTCTAGAGCAAAACCTGCACTCTGTGCGTGTGTGTTTGTGCGTGCGTGTGGGGGGGTTCTGTATTACTGTCAAAGAGGGGCTAAAGTCTGGGGAACTGTCCCCATAAAGACAACACCTCCAGACAAGCAGGGAATTTCCACAATGGATATGAGGCTCTGAACTAAATGTCATCTTCTTTCAAATCTCCCAAAACTGTTCCGTGTCTGTTTGCACCATGTGGAGTTTGCAGTAGTAAATACACATTTTAGAGTCAGTGGCAATTTCCCTACAGAAATAGTCATACAACTATGTAATAGAATGAGAGTGGTCCCACTCATGTTACCTTGTGTTTTTGTCACATTTGAGAAGATATGTCAAAGCAGCTCGTTGTAACAGGACAGCGCACTGGTGGGTTCATCTCCCAAGAGCCCGTCTTCAAGGCCTCCTTTCCTTGCACTGCGTGTGCACGGTGAATGACCTCTACGTCTCTTCCCACAGAGATCCGGACCCAGCTGGCCGAGCAGTTGAAGTGTCTGGACCAGCAGTGCGAGCTCCGGGTGCAGCTGCTGCAGGACCTCCAGGACTTCTTCCGCAAGAAGGCCGAGATCGAGATGGACTACTCCCGCAACCTGGAGAAGCTGGCGGAGCGTTTCCTGGCCAAGACGCGGAGCACCAAGGACCACCAGTTCAAGTAAGGGTGGAGCGGGCGGGGCTTCAGGGTGAGGGTGGGATGTTGCACTGGTGGGTGTGGCTTCTGGTCAGTGGGTGGGGCTATATGGTGGTTGGGGCGGGGCATTTGGGTGGCAGGGACAGGAATTCACCATGGTAGGTGGAGGTAGTTCAGGGTGGCAAGGGCAGGACTTCAGAGATACAGGGTGGGACTTTTGCCACCTTCATTTAAGTTGTTGTTTTTTTTCCTTTGACAGCCTAAGAAACCCACTGGGCCAGACCTGTCAGGAATTATTTTGATGTTAAGCAAATGGCTAAAACAGAAATCCCCCTGGATGGGATGCTAATCCCAGTGACCACTCATTTGCCTGGCTGGGTGGACCGATGCAGTCTCTCCACCATGCCGGACATTTCCACAGGGCAATGGTGTGCAGAAGTGCATAGTGTAGAGAGAGACTGTGGTGAAGGTGTGATGGTACCAGGCTGGTTTGCCATGGAAACTGCCAGGGGAGTGTGGTGTTATTGTCTCAGAACAGATACTGTTGCTCACATCCAGGAAGGGTCAGGACTGCGTTCCAGAAACCCCCTTTAAACAGAGGTGCTGCCTTCTCTCTGATTGTTTGCTCTTTTGCATTGCGTTCTTCAGCCCACTGGTTTTTTCCATGGCTTTTGCTTTGAAGGGATGTGTTTAGAAGTGTGGCTCGTTATGAGAGCCACACTCAGAAGACGATTCTTGTCAAATTAACATTAGTGTGCCTTAAAACCAGCATCTCCCAGTAAGCCATCAGGCAGGAAATCCCTTTAACTTCATTAAGAAACCCCTTTGACTGCACTTTGAAAAGCAACAAGTTACGTATGGTTCCAAAAGATCCTTGCAATGGCTGCTGAGTTCTGATAATTTACTCTCCCTAGTGACTTTTGTTCAGTCGTAGGTCAAGAAGTTCCTTGAAGGAACTATGCCTGTCTGGCTGTCCTGTTTCCTGGAGAGCTATGGGGCAGACAGGGAGTTTCTGATCGGATTCCATTGCCTACCAGCTGTGAAAACAGTCTTGCAGTCAGCCTTGACACCAGAATTCCAGGCCATTACAGGATTTTAGTTTAGCCCTTCTAATACATGAAGTACTAAATGTATCCTTAATTGCTTAACCCAGGTGCTGCAGATCACTTCAATCATAAAAGTCTAACAGGAGCATTTGTTTCAGGTGCACCTATCTCATCCATGTTTCTTCCTGTCTTGGTGCGGTTGTGGCTATTTTAGAAATCACACAGTTGCATCTGCTGCCTTTTATAAAATCATTTTCCTGTGCTCACACCCAGGCATTTATTGTATAGCATTTCATTCCTACACTGGGATCATGCTTTGACAAGCCTCTCTGTGATTATTGTAATAATAATGTTTATTTTATGGGCCCCATTCCAGATCTGAAAGTGATGTACAATTAAAACTCGGGAAGCAAAAACAAAAATACCCACCTAATTTCGAATGAGTTGAGGTTTGAAGGCAGACTTGGGATTTCTGGGAAGACTATTCCCCACGCGCAGCAGGAGAAATCCAGTCTGCGGTCTCGTCTAGGGACCGGCAGGCAGGAGAGATAAGGCAGAGGATGGCATTGTGCAAAACGGGCATTTTACTGTGCTCTTATTTTGGAGCGCAGCAGCCTTTAGGCAGTACCACAGTAACATTTGGGAGCTGTTTCCGTGATTCCGAAGAGGGGGTGTGGCCGGGCTGCTGAAGAGTCTGCCCCTGCTGTTCCGCTGTCTCTCAGCCCTGTGCGCCAGGCAGCCAGGTGGCAATTTTGTGCTCTGAATGTTTCAGTTTGTGTTCAGCTCAGTGAACTCGTCGCACACTTAGAAAAACATTGCGCTTGTAATGATAAATAATTGACTCGGTGAATAATTGAGTACAGTTGTAGGTTTTTCTTCCCCCACCACTGCCCTGCTGTCGGATGCCGAAATCTCCATCCCCAGCTGTGAGTCTGGGTCTGCCTTCAGAGAGAGCACGGTTGATCTGCAGGGCCCCACCCCCCTTTTCTGGGAGACACGGGTGTCAGGTTGAATTAGCGGGAAGGGGCCTGTGCTCCCCAGGGCAGCGGGCTGGACCCCTGTCAGGGGGACGCGCGGAGACGAGCTGGGACTGAGGAGGACAGGGGAGGCTTGCACCAGGAGAAGAAGGCTTCTCCTCCGGCTAGCCTGCTCGCGCTCGGCCGTTCGAACCCTGTACAGCAGCTAGACTGCAGGGCCCGATCCTTCAGTTCAAAGCACAATAAGACGAAACGGTAAGAGCTGATAAGCAGTATGATTTGGGGGGAGTACATACATTACTTCGGTCACGGAGATCCTCAATTAGCCATGAGCTACATCGGCCAAAATACCCCCCTACTCCCCTCACTCATTTGTAATCTCTTTCTTATGTCCCGGGTAAATTCTCATCCGATATTTGGGCTACACCATGAATATTAAAACCCCCTTTCTTACGCTCCATCATTCTCTCTTCCCCCATTTAATTTCCTCTCTGCTTCCTCCTGCCTCCTCTCCGCGAGACCATGAGCAGACGAATATCGCCTCCCCACCCCCACGCCGTCCCTCTCCTTCCTCTCTTCAGGAATCGCCTCAAATGTCAGAGTGGCACCTTGTTTTGGGAGAGGTGACAGGATAGAGCCCCCCGACCCCCGCCACCTGAAAGGCAAGAGTACATGTCAGGAGAGACTAGGGGCGAGTGCGACCCCCCCCATGCAGTGGGGTCACCCCTCCTCCGGACATGAAACAGTAACTGGAGCTGAGAGCTTCCAGGCTCTATCCAGAGAGCAATATTTGTTTTGTTTTTTTTACCCCTGCTTGTCAGAGCGAAGGAAAGAAGCAAAGACTCTAAATGTAATTCAGAATCTTCTTTCCTCTTTTATTGAAAAGACTTGTGTGTTTGGGGTTTTGCTCGGTATCCCCTGTCTGGCTCTGCGAGGGTTGCGCTGACCACACTGCCGCGCCTCGTCAGCGTGCGCCTTACTTCGCTGCCGATGTATCGGGGTGAAAAGCAATTCCGGTGCCTTAATATCTGAGCAGCTTGACTCCTGCTCCTCAGAGCTGTCCCTCTGATCTGGGGTATACTGCAGATAACACATTTAGATGAGTGATTTAGGTGCCTGCTGCGAGAGGCTTTGACGGTATCATGTGGAGTGTATTAAGGGGCCCTTCTCAGGTTTTTTTTCCTGATGTCTTAGAACAGTACTGTGGCTTTCTGAGGGGCTGTGTCTGCTGGGTTGATACAATCCTAGCTATGCTCCAGCTGCACGCTGTCTGCTGAGCTGTGAGAGGGCCAGCCTGCCACTGTCCTTCCCTCGGTCTTGATCAGGCGATCCTGCGGGCCAGCGCAGCGCCCATAGCGCCCTGACCTTGGTATTCGAGGTATGCGCTGGCCGGCCGGGTGGTGGGTGTGCCTGCTGCTTGACAGCTGGGAGCAATCCGGGCTTAACCCTTTCCTGTCTGGGTCAGCGATGCTGGAAATGCCGGGATTCTTGGCTGTGAGTTTTTAGAATTTCTGTCTGGCTGCCTCGGGGGCCAGCGATGCGCGGCGCCCGGTCAGAGCTCTGCTAACGTGACGCTCTCAGACAGAATTCCTGCAGAAGATCACCTGCTGTACTAATCTGCCCTTAAATTTGTCAGCGTCATGGAAGCAGGAGCACAGTGATCCGGGAGAGAGTAGAGAGTGGATCGTGTGGCACCCATCTTGTGAAAGATGAGGCACGATTATGGGAAGCGAGGGATAAAAAAAACTGAAATATATTAGACTGTTACAGTTCTGCCATCATAGCGCTTGCTAGTTGTTTTTGAAATTTTACGTGCGGAGTGAAAAGATTTACCAAGCTGATATTGCCCAGAGTAGAAATAGAAGATCCTGAGACAGCTGGTGCTCTCTGCCCTGTCTAAGGATTTGCTGTCTGAACTCCCTGTGTACTGTTCATTTGAAGAGACACTCTTTTTTCCCCAAGCAGTAGGCAGGACAGGCTCGTTTCCTGTTCTCGTTTGTTATTCATGTCCGTTTCAGGAGCAGTTGGGAAGGTAACGTCCAGTTCAGCAAAGCACAGTGCAGTCAGTACAGGGCTGTTTTTTTCCCTTTTACTTGCTTTTATACTTTGAAGTTCCTTTTCCTCAGTCTGTATTATGTACGGAACAGCGGTGTGTGTACAGCAGCAAAGTGATGCCCTTTTTTTTCCCCCCTGAGTTTGTCTTGACTAAAAATAGCGATCGTGCACTGAGGTACCGTTGCAGAGACTGGTGAAATGTGGCTTGGCAGTCATGCTTCATCCAGGGAGCTATGAGCAATCCCAGCCTGCCACATGTTTTACCCAGCGCCTGCTCTTTGAAAAAGCAGGAATCTAAGAATTGCTTGGGGAACTCTGGTAATTCTAAGGCATGCAGGAGCTGCACAGGCACAAGACATGATGGGGTTTTTATATTGAACTTTTTAACATATAGGACATGTTTTAAAATATACAGTAGGATAGTTTTTGTCCGGAGTTCTGGACATTGAAGACACAAGGCCAAGGATCAGGAGTGTTGCAGATAGTGTGAAAATCAGCCTGGTTTGGGCGTCCAGACCATGTGGTCATGGTGCGATGCTCTGTGCTGTGCTGTACTGCATGCCGGGGGATCCCCTGAATGTTTCTAATGACTGTTTTCCAGATGGTATTATGGAATTTTCACAATGTCGGTGAACTGTTGCATAATTCTTATTGCTCCAGAAAGACAAACAGTGATAACCCCCCGCCTCACCCTCCCAGCCTTCCCAGCAGTTTACTACATGTGCCCCACAAGAAAGAACAGTGTCTTAGTTGTGGACTTGCTGTTAATTAAGTTTGTGCCCCTCATGACTGAGACGTAGGTCTGACGCTCTGTTCACTGTGCAAACAGCCTGGGGCCAGAGCGGGCTGGAATTGCAATAAGAAGTGCGTTATGCTGCCTGAGAATCTACTAATCTCATTAGCCTCCTATTAAGTATGCCTTCGCTGCTGTGGGGCTCCGCACAGCCCCACAGGAACTGGAGGCTTGCTCAGGGTGGGGTCAAGGGCTGGGCCCTTCGCCTCAGAGGAGCGGCAGTTTGTGTTGCTTCCACAAGGGCTCGTTGTGCCCCACCGTGTCCAGAGGCATGCCCTGGCCAGACAGCCCCACCTTCCCACAGCCCTTTGGGGTTGAGAAGGGTTCCTCCTCTCCCCCACCTCCACACACACCCACACGCTCTGCAAGGACTGCCAGATGAGAGTGAAATCTCATGCCAGCACGCATGTCATCCATTTTAGCAGACATCGAGACGGAGTGATTTAATGCCACAGGGGGCGTTCTTGTGCTCGCCCGGGCTTCTGTATGTAGGAGCGTAACAATGGCCGTTTTGTAAGACATGAAAGGCCTGGCTCATTTTTTCCCATTTGTTTTCTCTTCCCTGGTGTTTATAAGCCTTTTTCTTTTTCCTTTGGGCTTGGGCTTTTCTCTTTGTCAGTCTAACTCTCAGCCTGTAGAACAAGTTGGATGGGTTAGTATTGTGTGTGTAAGTAAAGTATAAACATGTCTGTATATGACCATTTCTGAACTCCAGGGAATCCTGTTTCGCAAGCCATTAAGGAATCCCTTTCCTCTATATGCGCTCCCCTTCCCTGCTGATGGACATCACCTCTCGGGCTGTGCCCCCCTGACTGCCGGCCCTGTGCAGCAGTCATGCCAGTACCGGGCATCTCATAGTCTCATCTCAGCTTTCCCCACAGGCAGTGCAGCATCGCAGGCCGCTGTGGTTGCTGTGCGTGGCGCTCCCAGCATGGGACTGTCTCAGTCTGATGAGCAGACAGGCACAGAATAGGACTCTGCATGTGGCCCAGCTCTCTGTGCACTTCACCTCAGTACAAATCTCCTGACTCCCACGCTGCTGTTCCACTCGCTGAGTTCAATTTCCAGCACTTAGGAGGAGAGTTTTCTCGGGGAGCTCAGGCAGCGCGTTTGGGGGTTTTCCATCAAGCTTTTTTAATGGCTTCTTGATCCTTTGATTTAGAGTGGAAGGAGGTGGCATTGGCTGGGGGTGTTGGCCTCAAAATGCCTTTTCTCAGACAGATGACGAGGAGGGCTATCTCTGCTGTACCCATGCTGCTCAATCACATGGTCTCCTGCCTCGAGTTTGGGCTTTACCCTGAAGGCACATTGTCTCTGTGTGTGGACACATGTCCACCTCTTGGTCTGTGCCTCCCTGACAGCCTGCCATCTACAGAGGTCATGCCTGTACTGGGCATCACATTGCCCCCGTGCTCTCTCTGCACTGAAGGGGGACGAGACCTTCCTGTCAAAGCCCACAACCCTCAGATCCCAATGCTTTCAGCTTTTCAAATGCAGTACAAGTACAACATGACATCATTATCTCTACCAGTTTTAGTTCAGATGAAAGTGCATTAGCATAGCAATGCTTTAAGCAGGAATGAACTTAATGCAATGTCTGATTCACTGACATCTCCATAATTGAGTGAAACTTAATTGCATTTGGCTTTTAAACAAAGACTAAAACCTGACTTTGTGAGATCACATTGAAAAAAGATGAAAGGCGCATTACAGTCTAAAGAACTGGAGAGTAATTTTTGGGTACTTCAAAAAAATACATTTCCTTAATAATAGTTAAATTAGGTCTGCTTATTCAGTGTAAGCACTGTACATGATCTCGATCTTGCGCTACCACACACTTACTGCAGTGCTCAGTTGTTTCTGCAGTGGCTCCAGTGAATTTGAAATAGCAGGGTGTGATGTTCGCGACAGCAGCCTGCCCGGTTTTAATGGTCTGGCCTGGTCATGGTCAGAAACTGTCGCAAGCTTCTGGCTCTTTCCCCAGCACTTTGTCATTCTTTGGGCACTCGTGCTCGATCCTAGTACACCACCGGCGCAGAGTACGGCCTGTCTCTGCGTGCACAGTGTTAGTGATGGGGTGCTGTTGAGACAAGAGTATCAAGCATAGCAACACCACCGTGCGGGTAATGAGCTATGTGTAAATGAGGCCATGGGCAGGACAGGGCTGTTGGTGCTCTCTGATGTACCAGTTCTGTCCAGGGGAATGGTGCTCTGCAGTTTCAGTGGCTCGGCTCTCTCTGGAAGCACTCACTGGAAGTTCTCACCAAGTCTAGTCTCCAGGACGGGGGCTCGCTACCCAGAGCTGTGTGTGTTATGCCTGTGTGTGTG